GACTCAGTTCATAAGCATTATTTGAATTTTAATTATTATAATCCAACAAAAGGTTCATCTTATATTGAACTACCACCAGAATTAAAGAATCCTAAAAAAAGGTTTGATTAATTTACAAAATAAGGATAATGAATGCTTTCGTTGGTGTCATATTAGATATTTAAATCCACAAGATAGGTATCCTCAGAGGATTAAAAAAAGTTGATAAGAAATTTGTAGATAAATTAGATTATTCAGGAATTGAGTTCCCAGTTAAAATTAGTCAAATAAATAAAATAGAAAAGCAAAACAACATAAATGTGAATGTGTTTGGATATTGAAATAAACTAAAATATCCAATATATGTTAGCAAAGAAAAAAATGATTATCATTTGAATCATTTATTGATAACAAATGAATATGATTCACATTATGTTTTAATAAAAGATTTTTTAACAGATTCATGCATGATATGACAAAAAAATAAAGGTAGAAAGCATTTTTGTTATTATTGTTTTCAATATCTTAATTCTGAAAGAGTTTTGAATAATCATAAAGAAAATTGTTTGACTATAAATGGCGCTCAAGCTGTTAAAATATCAACTAAAGAAACAACATATTGAAATTTAATAATTATCATAAACAACTACCAGTTCCATTTGTTATTTATGCTGACTTCGAAGCTATCACAGAGAAATTCATGGATGTCAGCCTTCTGATAAAAAGTCTTTTACTCGAGCTTATAAAAAACACACTGATTGTGGATATGGTTATAAAGTTGTTTGTTGTTATGATGATAAATACACAAAACCAATTCAAATTTATCGTGGTGAAAAAGCCGTTTATAAATTCATGGAAAAAATGCTTGAAGAAGTAAAATATTGTAAGAGTGTCATCAAATCAAAATTCAACAAACCATTAGAAATGACGAAAGAAGATGAAGAACAATTTAAAAATGCTGATAAATGTCATATCTGTGAAAAAGAATATACTGAAAAAGATACTCGTGTTAGAGGTTCTTGTCACATGACTGGTTCGTTACAGAGGTTCTGCACACCAAGATTGTAATCTTAATTTTAAAATAACTGATAAAATACCTGTAATCTTTCATAATTTGAGAGGATATGATTCTCATTTTATAATGCAAGAGATTGGTGAAATTGTTAAGAACAATAAATACACAAATAAAAAAGGAGAAGAGTGTCAAATGAATATAAATGCTATTCCAAATAACTTCGAAAAATATATGGCTTTCATGCTTCGAAATCATCTCACATTCATTGATAGTTTTCAATTCATGAGCTCAAGTCTTGATAAGTTAGTGAATAACCTTCCAAAAGATGCATTTAAATACACTTCTGAGCAGTTTTAAGATAAGAAATTCAATCTTATGACAAAAAAAGGAATTTATCCATATGATTTTATAGATAGTTATGAAAAATTCAATGTGACAAAATTACCCACTAAAGATGAATTTTACAGCNCTCTATTGAAGGGATGTACCAGAACTTTTCACATTTTATTACCAACCTTTACTTGTACCGTCCTCGCCCATAATTATTTTCATCGAAGATATTATTTGCATGACCACTGGAGGCGACATGAAAGAGGCGTACGCTGCACTATGGGAACTTCCTTTTATATGGTCTATTATTTCCTAGAAGAAATAATAAAATGACATTTCGTTGTAAGTTGTAGCTGTCAAATCGCTACCTTAGCTTAATTTGAGATCATTAAAATGAAATACACCTAGCTGTAACTTCATGAGAATTAAATTTAATTGTACAGGTGGTTGTAGATCAATGCTCAATATTGCCATTAATTATTAAACTGTAGTACTTGGGAGTGTCATTAGAGAGATCGAGCACCGCGTTTACGTGAAACGGCAAACGTCAGCTTGTCCTTTCACGTTGCACGTAAAATAGAGTGAACCTTAATGCTCTAGTTTCGCGTAAGCTGAAGTCATGGTGGATTTGAGGGCGCCTTGTATGAATTCAAAGAAATAGTTTTGGTGCCCTTTCCGGCAACTAACTTTTACTCTGAGAGAAAAAGCGAAGAAAATCTTACTTACACTGTACACGGCAAACACGAAACACGTAACGTAGAAATGGCAAAGCGCAACTGGAAAACGTGAGAAAATGGCGGGAAAAAAGCGAGGTCACGTGGTCACTCTTGCCGTTCACCGCGTTTCGCGTAAACGCGGTGCTAAATCTCTCCAACACCTCAAAACCAAACGAGTGGTTCTCACCTGTGAGGCAGCAATGTAACCGCCAGCAGCACCAAAACTCTTTGTAAATGTCCCCATCATGATATCGACATCTGCAGGGTCCACGCCAAAGTACTCTGTTACGCCCCTTCCGTTTGGGCCCATGGCTCCAATGCTGTGGGCCTCGTCTAGGTACAAGTATGCTTTGTACTTCTTCTTAAGGGCTACGATCCCTGGGAGATTTGCGAGAGAGCCCTCCATACTAAAAAAAAAAAAAAACACTGGCTCACACAATTATATAAGAAGAACTTCTTGATTATCGTAAAAAGGGTTCCGATTGATTATTTGCGGACAATCTCTTTCATGCTGAAGGTCTCTTCCACGGATGATATGACTTACCTATAGACCCCTTCAACGATGATTAGAATCTTTTTCCACGCTCGGTGAGTTATTGGCTGCCCTTGAGAAATCGATTCGTGCAAGATTTTCTCCAAACTTGACATGTCTGTAATAAAAACAGAGATCTGAGAATGTGTTGTATAGAGGCGGGGGGTGGGGTGGGGCTAGTAACCTGTAGTGGTGCTCCTATTTACGTAAGTTGACTTGACCTTACCATTATGTTTGAAGACCTTAATCTTCGCTCCTGACAGTCTTGCTCCTAAGATTAGCGATGTGTGGTTCAACACATCACTGATAATCAGATCTCCCTTGCCCACCAGGGTGGGGATGTTAGCAGAGTTGGTGGCGAATCCCATTCCAAACACCATAGCAGCAGGCTTACCGACAAACCTGGCGACAAGAGCTTCCAACTCGTTATGAATATCCAGTGTCCCTCGAAAATGGAGAAATGCTGTGAGGAATTGGAGGTTGAAAGATCAATTTAATTGAAATGCAGAGAGTGAATGTGCCCCTGATATCGATTTTATTCCAAATTTGATACACTTGTGAAGTGAGGAACGTTGGATAAAATTCGCGTGTTGGTTGAATTTCAACATAGAAAACGAACACACGCAGTAAGTTACGTCAACATGAGGTATTAATTTGCTCACCGTGAGTACCTTTCCCTTGAAATAGAGCAACAACAACTTTATTTGCACCCTGAATTAAATTAAATTTAAATTACAATAAAGTAATAAAACAAATGAAATAAAGTGCATGGCTGCCCAAAATATCCACCAGATTGATAGAGCAATTAACTCTTACTTTCAAATCTGTTATAGTGAAAGGGCTACATGAATCACGCCGAACAGCCTCATTAACATCTTGGGGAGTAACACAGAAGTCAAACGTCAGCGCACGAACGAGTATCTCCCGGACTTTGACTCACCGTATTCATGTCTTGAGCTGCAGCCTGCAATGCCATATTCACGAACTGCCTGTTCAGCGGCATCTGCGCAGGGCCCAGAATTCTCCGCGAACCCAAGATAATTGTAAGAGCCAAGATTGACAGAATTTGTTGTCGTTCCTGTGTATCTAGGCAGAACAATTCATTTTAAACTAGTCAATAATGTTAGTGTCTCGTTGTATTAATAAGTGCACGTAAATAGCGATTACATTATTGATCTTTTGGGTAAAAAACCAAAGTCTGCAAGTGTTTTTTGTGATTTTTTTTTTTAATGACAGTGGTATTCCAAATCTTCGCCGCAATGTCATGAAAATTGGCAAAAACTACATAAACTGAGTGACTTGGTAGGTGTTATAGTTGCGGCTGAAAAGAGCTACATTATAATATTTTTATTCGCTCATTTCTGGACTTTTGAAGTTTTATTCATATTAATGTTAAAAGTATATCATGAGATGGTAGTTTGTTAGGGCGGAATAACAGTCACGAGATAAACACTTTGAGCGATATCACAAATGGACATTGCTCAAAAAACCGCTGACTGCACCTTTTTGTCTTGGTTAAGGTGGAAAAACATCATGGAGGTAAGACACGGAGATTGACACGGATTACACAGGAGCCTGGTTAAGATTTTCTAAAAGAGGGGGGAGGGAAGGGTCTAATGAAGTCACACCAAGACCTTCAGGTGGGCTTTTATAGATTGTACTTGTAAAAGTTGCATATTATGCTAGTAGCACTGCTCTTTTTTGGCCAAATTACGCTTATGCTCGTTTTTTCAAATGATGCCACCTATTTTTTCAAATTATGAAGGCGTCAGACTACCCTAAAGTGATGTCGATATCCACGCTGTTGATTCTTCAGGTTTGCGCTTTCTTGCTTTAGTATCAACTCCACCCCCAACTAAGGGAAAAGGCCCTGGGAACGAGGTTGGTTTGTAATTTGTTTAACCACCGACCACCAAAAATACCACGAAGGGGCGTGATCTTCTGGCCCCCGGGACCTCCTCCCTAGCTATGCCCCTGATGTAAATGATCAACTTGATAACTTAACGCTACAAAAAGGGGCAAACTTTGACGCGACTCCGCAGTAACCTTCTGAGGAAACTACTTTAAGGCTACCTGAAAGTCTGGTTCCAGTCATCGGACTCTCTATCCACGAGTGCAACCTCTCCGCCAGGAACACTACAAATGGGTCTGTTTACACAGTCCCTCACACGATTGTAAAGATTCCGTTTGTAGAAACTCTTAAAATCGGAGTAAAGCGGCACAAAACCCTGAAATCAGTGAAAAATATAACACGTTAATCGACTCAAGATAAACAAAGAAGTTTCCCTTTTGAATGCGTCCCAAGCTGTAATCGTTTTGGTGACCATAGTGGGTAGAAAAAAATTTTTTGCTCTTATATTTGCCAATTTGCTTGCAGCGGTCATGTGATAGAAGTATTATAATTTCATTGATAGCAAAAAGAAGGGCTGGTTTCATTACTTTGACGTGGTTCTTCAAAAAATAAAATTTCATTCTGTTAATTGATACGTTTTACAGTTCACTGACACTACCTGAAAACTGAATTCTATGATGGCTTCCCATAAAATTGCGTAACAACGCGCAGGAGTTTTGCCCTTTGCATCATAAGAAATAATCCCACCTTTCCTCGTAAAACTATGGATTAATATCACTTGTGTTTCAGAAGTTGCAACAACTTCCGGAATTTATGAAAACATGCGTGATATTAAATAATACGTAGCTTTTACTCAGCCCCATAAAATTACCTATACAAGGTAAACCATTATCGACCATTGTTGTATTCGTCTAGACAGAAAAAAATATTACTGATATGAACGCGTGCCTTCATTTTTTTTTCGACGCAATGCACGTGTTAGGATCGTAACTGAACGTAATCAAAAGTGAAATTTTCAAATGCTTGTCAGCGTTGTTTACGTATGCTGTTGTTCTTTCGGACTTTTCATTAAAAACTAAATTAAAAAAATATAGATACTCTTAGCGCTTAAACGCTCACAAATATGTTTGTGACACACATCAAAACATAAAAGTTACAAAAGAATATATCGTTTTTCACTAAATAACAACGACCAAAGCTTATCCAATTTGTTTAATAGAGGGTCGTAACCCCATTGTCTTCATCCGCCGTGCAGCCGTTTTGCACAAGCACGTGCCCAAGATCACGCCTGGTTACCCCCCCAAAATTAAACCTACTGAGCATGCGTTACGGTTAAAAGTCCAGAGGTCATAAACGAAGAGCCTCTCTTATTCTTGCATAACCAATGGAGCGCTAGTAGTGTAGAAAGGCGGGTCCTGGGACAAAATCGTTGAATTATCACGCATCTACGTTAATTTAACTATAAATCAGATTAGCAGTCACGCTCACATTTCCTCATCTACTTAACGCCCACGTTCGATAATTTAACGACAATCGTCAAGTTATCGAACGCGGGTGTTAAGTTTAACATCTTTAAAGGTAAACTTGACGCCCACGTTCGATAATTTAACGACAATCGTCAAATTATCGAACGTGGGCGTTAAGTTTAACATCTTTTAAAGGTAAACCCCACCTTATCGACCATTTCACGTTAATTTCACACTTTTGTCCTTCACATCAAAAGTTTTTTCAACTCACGACTCATGAGTTGAAAATTTCATGGACAAAAAATGCTGATTACCGATTATTTTTGTTGTTTATAATAAAAATATGGATCAAACAACAACAAACATATGAAACATATGGATGTTGAAAAATTTGGTAAAAATCTTGAAAAAGAACCAAGTGCTGAACGTTTAAGACAAAATGTTAAGAACACATTACGAGACATAAGTGATAAACGACAAGATATGCGGTTCGAAAGAGAGGAAATATTTCAACCCATTGTTAGCAGGGTAAAGGAGGTGAAAGAAACAATCGACGATAGACAGGATAAAGTCACTGCGAAATTAACAGAAAATTAAAACGCATTAACCACAGGAATCCAAGCTCTTCTGGTGCAGCCGACAACATCTGCACTTCCTCCACCAGATTTACCACCAAGTCCATCTCTTCATCAAATCTCTTGCTGAGACATGGGGAAAGATTGATTGTATTGCCAGCAATGAAGAAAAATACATCAGTTTCTCAAAGCAAGTAAAGGTCGATACAAGAGTTGATGAAAAAGGTAAAGAAAAACATGTGACATTTACATTGCGCTTTGTTGACAGCTTGAAGTTTATGACTTCAAGTCTTGAAGAACTGGTTTCCAATCTGGCATCAGATTCAAAGAATAGATTCAAAACGATGCAAAAGTATTACAAAGGCAAAAAACTTGATCTTTTCCTGTGGAAAGGAGTTTATCCTTATGAATATATGGATAAACTTGATAAGCTAGATGAAACTTAATTACCACTGAGAAGCGCTTTTTTCTCTTCAACCAATGGAGAATGTATTTCTGAAGAAGATTATGTACATGCAAAAAAGGTGTGGTGAGTTTTTGATTGCAAAACCTTGACAGATTATCACAATCTCTACAAAGAAGCAGATGTGTTGCTTTTGTATGATGTCTTTGAAAATTTTCTTGATGTTTGTAGAAAAAACTACGGTCTCGACCCAGCTTGGTATTATACTGCGCCTGGGTTGGCTTGGGATGCATGTTTGAAAAAGACAGGAGTGAGACTCGAACTCCTGTCTGACTCAGACATGTTGTTGATGATTGAAAAGGGAACTCGTGGTGGGATTTCAATGATTTCAAATCGATATGGTCAAGCGAATAATAAATATATGGGTGAAAAATTTGACAAGAATGAACCATCCAAATTCATATCATATCTTGACGCAAATAATCTTTATGGTTGGGCAATGGCAAAGAAACTTCCAACACATGGCTTTGTGTGGATGGATGAATTTGAATTGAAATATTGGCAAAATTATTCGTGTTTTTTAGAGGTTGATTTGTTATATCCAGAAGAATGGCATGACTTGAACAATGATTATCCATTGGCTCCTGAGAGAAAAAAGATTAACAATGTGGAGAAGTTGATTCCCAACTTGAACGACAAAGAAAAATATATTCTTCATTGTGAAAATCTCAAGTTGTATCTTCAGTTGGGGATGAAACTCACAAAGATTCATAGAGGGATAAAATTTCAAGAGAGTGATTGGATGAAAGATATATCGACTTCAATACTAGATTGCGCTCAAAAGCCAAGAATGAATTTGAAAAAGATTTTTTCAAGTTGATGAATAACTCAGTCTTTGGAAAGACCATGGAGAATCTGAGAAATCGGATTGACTTGCGATTGGTGAATAATGAGAAGAGTGCAAAGAAGTTGGCAGCAAAACCAAATTTCAAGAATTGTACCATCTTTTCTGAGAAATTGGTGGCGACGAACATGAAAAAGACTGAGATAATATTCAACAAACCTGTTTATCTTGGGATGAGCATTCTGGATTTGAGCAAGACATTGATGTATGATTTTCATTATAATTACATCGAACCAAAATACAGTGAAAGATCCAAACTTATTTTTACTGATACTGACAGTCTCTGTTATGAGATTGAGACTGATGATTTCTTCAAAGACTTTGCTTCTGATGTAACGACAATAGTTGATACGAGTAACTTTGATTTGAATCATCCTTCTGGAATAAAAACTGGACAAAATAAGAAAGTCATAGGGATGTTTAAAATTGTAACTGGTGAATCAATAATCATAGAGTTCGTGGGGTTAAGAGCAAAGTTGAATAGTTATAAATTGTTTGAAGGCGATGAAAGAAAAAATGCAAAGGTGTCAAAAAAAGCGTCGCGAAGAAGATTACTCATGATGATTACAAGAAATGTTTGTTTTCAAAGAAAGAACAGCTTCGAAAGATGTATGTCATTCGAAGTCATAAGCATGAAATTTGTACACAAGAGATAAATAAAGTCGCTTTGTCGGTGAATGATGATAAACGTGTTATAATGGATGATGGGATACACACATCGGCTCATGGGAATTACTCTTTGAGTAAAGAAAACTAGACACTCTTGACACTTTCAACTCATGAGTCGTGAGTTGAAAAAACTTTTGATGTGAAGGAAAAAAGTGTTAAATTAACGTGAAATGGTCGATAAGGTGGGGTTTGCCTTTAAAGATGTTAAACTTAACGCCCACGTTCGATAACTTGACGATTGTCGTTAAATTATTGAACGTGAGCGTTAAGTTTACCTTTAAAGATGTTAAACTTAACGCCCACGTTCGATAATTTGACGATTGTCGTTAAATTATCGAACGTGGCG